TCAAAAATAATTGTGTTATGACTCAATTATTTATATGTTTTAATAGTGACTCAATTAATTGCATCAAATAATTGCGTCATTTGCATCAAGGATCTACAAATTTTAGCAACATGTATAGTTGTGACTGTGGATGTGATATGCAGATGTTGATCCTATCAGAAGTTTGGGATCTTAATCTCATCCTTTAGAGGAATGATATATTACTTCCATAAATCACATCTAGAGGTTTCAACTAAAGATATGTGAGTTTGGTCAGAGAAATTTGTACTTTGCATATATTCTTATGTGTATAATGATTCTTTATGATTTAATAAATATATAATACCAACCTAATTGCAGAATATAAAAAAAATAAAATAAAATAAAATTTTATTATCTTTACTTTATTAAAATAATTTTTAATATTAGGTTTTTAATATTTTAATCTAATTTTATTATATAATATCTTTCAAGGTATTTATATATTAATAGTAATGTCTTTACTATAAATATATATAGTTTTACAATAGTTTCAAGTAACTTTTTTAATATTTTTAAAATTTAAATCTTTATAAAATAATTTTATACTTTACTTTAGTTTATTATTATAGAAAATAATAATATTTTTAATAAATTATTTGTAATAATAATATTAGTATTACCATTTTTATACTAATTAAACTATTAGTTTTATTATTATCATTAATATATTAAAAATTATCAAAAGAAATTTTATATTTTATTTTAGAAAAAATTATTAAAAAATTATTAAAAAAAAATTAAATAATAATTTTTAGAATAAAAAAAATATTAAAATAGAATAAGTTTGTTGAAATATAAAGAAACTATAAAACAGTAAAGTAAAGTTATTAAAAAAATTTTTATTTATAATATTATATACTGTATATTATAAAAAAAATAAATAAAATAGACAAGTTATAAAAATTTTTTGATCTTTTGATTTATTGATTTATATATTTTAATTTAATTTAATTTAATTTTTTTTTTAAAAAAATTGCAAATAGGCATTGAATGTGAAACTTTATTAAATCCAGGTTTTAATAGCCATTACATTAAAAATCTTTACATAAAGTAAATTAATTCTAGCTTATAGCAATTTTCCAAAGTATCAACAGACACTTCTAGGATATATCTATACTCTGGTTTTTGTTAGAGGTCTGATTGGAATTTTGATATGTTAACTGTTACTAAATTTCTTATTACATTCATATCTTTAGCTTATACTATCATGTTACTTGCAGGCTTACTTTTTTACACTTTCTAGTAAATGCTCCAAGAGTTATTCTATAATTGGCACAAATTATCAAAACTGGAGACTTATAGGTCTAGTAAAATGTGACTTCTAAATCCTCCAGCAGACACTCCATAGACTCTTGGTTAGTTTAAGCTGTCAAATCTAAAAGTATGAATACCAAGCAAGATGCAACTTCTATAAAGTTGCTATTGGCATTATCTATTTATTCATGTCCATACAGTAATTTTCTTCAAAGTTGCCTAATTGAATTAGCATGTGGTTATAAGATAGCCATGGTTCTATCTATATTGGGATCTTGTAATTAATATAACATAATTATTCTCTGCTAATCTTTTGGAGAGGAGAAACCGATCACGGTTTTTGAAATTGTAATGAAGAGAAGTATGTATTTATCAACTAAAACATCCAAGAATAAGTTTTTGCTAAGAAAACCTACTGTCTTTAATAGGAAAAAACTTTTTTTAATATAATTAAGAATAATAGAGTAATATAACATAATAAGGTTTGTAATAAGTGATTCTAGGGAGAATGAAAAAACTGTCTAGAGAAAAAAGATAAGGGAAGTTAAGGAAAGAGCTAAATAAGTAGATAAAAAAAAAAACATAACTACATTTTAGCTTGTAATTGTCAGATATACATAAAGCCTCGCAATAAAAAAATTGATTACTTAAGCCTTTCTAGTTCTTGTCTCAAACTACAGACATGTACAGGTTTGATCTGCTTATGTTTTCCTAAGCAAAAGTGCTTCTTCTAGATATTGAATTCTAATGATTAGAGAAGTTTCATATAGTGTCAGCATATTTTAGACTTATCTTGCTTGAAATTTTATTTTGTGAAGAAGAAGAAAAGGGAAAAGGGAAGAAAATTTCTAAAAAAAGAAGTTTTCTGATGAAGTAGGAGTAAGTGGGAAAGAGTTTTTTTTTAAATAATTTAATTTAATTTTTTTTGTTTCTATTTAAATATAAAATCTAAAAATCTAAAATTAATTTTGATTCAAATCAAAATCAAATTAATTTGAATTTTATCAAATCAAAAATTTTAAAAACTAAATTAATTTAAATCAAAACTAATTTTATTTTTATATTAAAGTAATAAGAAGAATAATTATAATGATTATAATAAAAAAAAAGATATATAAATATAAATTTTAAAAAAAAATTATTATATAATTAGAAAATATACCGAATTTTCAAATCTGTTAACTTTTTAATAAAAGATTTTATTTTGATATAACAGTAGTTCTTAAAGTTTTTGTATTCTTGAGCTTAAAATTTATAATATATAAAGAATAAAAAAGAGAAATTGTTTTTTTAAAGAAAATTACTATAAATGAAAATTTTCAAAGAATTAATAAAAAATAGATAAGAGCTATTTATTTATTTATTTTAATTTATTTTTTTTATTCCTATTTATTTTCTTTTAAATTATTTTTTATTTTTTTTATTTTTTTTTAAATTATTTTTTTATTCCTATTTATTTTCTTTTAAATTATTTTTTATTTATTTATTATTTATTTATTTATTCTTGTTTACTTTCTTTTTATTTATTTATTTATTTTTATCTTGTTTATTCTTTTTTATCTATTTATTTATTTCTATTTTTTTTATTTATTTATTTTTTATTTATTTATTTATTTTCTTTAATTTTTATATACCTAGTTTATATATATATATATTATTGTATTGAAAAAAAAAAAAGTTAATAAATGAAATAAGTAAAATATGGATTTAAATTAAATAAAATATATACTTTATTATACATATATATAAACTAAAAGTAATTTAAGTTTTTATATTTACAAAATATAAAAAAAAATAAAATTTTTTAAATAAGTATCAATATAATATTAAGTAAAACAATATTTTTAAATTCTATAGTAATAATATACTTTGCTACTTATACTATTCTCCTTTAATAAATACTTTTTAATATTATTTAATTTATTAAAAGTTAAATTGATTAATATCTGAGGATTGAATGCAATGGTATATGATAGTTTATCTATAAAAATAATAATAATAATTTATTGTTTAAGATAAATATTCAAGTTATAAAATAGTTTATACAATATAATATATAATACATTAATTGTTTTTTGTAAAGATTAATACACTCGTTTAACTACAAAAAAAAAAAAAAGATTTATGTAATTTAAACAAGTTTCTATAAAATATAATTATTTATTTTTTTAAATTAAAATTATTCTTTAAATCTAAACATTATTAAAATTTAGATTTTTAAAAATTTTAAATAAATATTTATAGTATTAAACAAAAATAAGAAATTTTTAGTTCAATTTTTTCTTGACACCCTGTATATGTATATAAAAAAATCGGATTTTTATTTAATAGCCGCGATTATACAAAACTTTGTTCATCATTTAACTTGAACAATAAATATAATAAGTTTTAATTAAGTTTTTTTTTTTTTTGACTTTACAATTTTGTCACAATTTCTAAGTACAAGGAACGTTAGCCAACACTTTTTCTTTTCACCAGGAAATTTTGTAACACCCAAGCACCCGTAAAAAAATACTCCAAAAACTCCCACCTTTTTTCTTTTCAATAGAGGAAAATCTATTCCCGTCAAAATGCCTATTAGGTATTTTCGACCAAACGGTGAAAGATGATATCTACCCAAAAGATAAAATAAATAAAACACAAGACTACTGATACAAATATGGTAAAGTACATAGAGAAATATTACTGTAAGAGGAATATCGTCATCGTCACCTTAAACATTTTCGGAGAATTTTTTTTTTTAGGAAGAATTTTAGGGAGGAATTAAAGTGTGATACACGTAGAATAAATTAAGGAAAAAATATATGTTATATATATAATATTTAACAAAGAAATTTGATTATTATAGTTTTTTTTTGTGCATTCTTATCTCATTCGCATGTCTCCATGACAGGAGTTAGGATTATGATAACAAAAGAAAAGGAACGTTATCTATTAATAGAAAATAAGGGATGAATGGATATTATAGATGTGTAAATGACTTCAACAGGTGAATGTGGTGCTGCATAATCTTTTTTTGGAATCTCTTGAGCGTTACAATATCATTCATCAGATATATCTTCGACATTGTTGAATTGTGGAAACACCGAAACAAATGTTTTAATGAATATTTACAAGGCCACAAATAATCATGATTCGGCATCTGGTACAACATATGTGCTCGGAAAGTATCCAGTGACAAAATTTCCGGTTCCTAAGTAATAAAAGTAATTATTAATAAATTTAATGTTAAAATCATATCTTTGAGTTAAATTCATACCATCATCCTTAACTCCTTTCCACCATACGTCATCGCTTTTATCGGTCACGTAAATTATATCACCAACTTCAAATCCCAACTCTACATCTTCCCTTGCCACAAATGGAAATCTTGCATGATACATTTCTCCACCCTCATAAACTCGTCCTCTACTTTTACTACCACCGCCTTCCTCGTTATTTACAACGGCTGGTATATCTTTTACTTCATCTTCGGTTGCAATCTTTTCTGCCATTTCTCTGGCCAGCACCAAATCACTGTTATCAGAATTTCTCGTTCTCTCGGGTATAGTATCAATGGGATTGCTACGTGCCGTCGAAGATTGATGAGCTGCGGTGGATCCCACGCCCACGCCTACACCCACACCATCACCTGATGATGTGAGATCACTAGAGGTCTTTGTATCCGAAATATTTCCGAAATTGCTCGAGACCACGGACTGTCGAGGATCATTTCTCTGTCCGATGATGGCGGTGGCGGCATTAATGGTATTCATCAGTTCGCTCTGACGGATTGTCATCTTGTCAGAATAGCGCGAACTTGTTCTGTCTTTAGCCACTCTTCGCCGTCTGAAGTACACGACTGACATTCCAGTTGCAACGAGCAGGAATATAAAGGCTAGTGATATTGATACGGAAATCAATATTACCAATGGTACGGGTAAGGCGCCTGTTGAACAAAGGAAAGAAGAAAAAACTTTAGCTGGGAAATAACTAACGGATTATTTCCATCATAACGATAAAAAACATACCATGCCCACTCAAAAAGTCTGGAAGAATCGCCGTAAAAATGGTAAATATTTTCCCCGAAGTTCCATTACCTCCCGCAGAAATTAGATAAGGGTACAACGTACTGCCATCATAAAATGCAGCACTCACATTGCCGTATGATTCAAGCGCCAAGTCACCAGCAATCAGAAGAAGCCAACCAGCATCCAGAATATCCGAAGATTTATGCTGACTGTCGCTAGGCACTAGAGACAACTGACTGATCGTTGAATTTGTTAAAAGACCTTTGCTTATGTCACGATATCTGCTGCCATCCCATTTGCGCAAATATGACCCACTACCATTACTTCTGTAGCCAGCAACGAAGAATTGTCCGTTTATCAAGAAGTCGTTTAGTACCACAGTCGCAGGACCCGGGAGTTGAGTATCGCCATCACCGAGAGAGGCTTTCTCTTTCCAACTGGCATTTGTAAAATCGTATTGTGCTAGGTATACGAAACGGTTGTCAAGTGTTAAGTTTCCGGCCGCCACCAGTGTGTTTTGACTATTATCGTTCTATCGATGTCACGTGATTAATGATGAGCAAAAAAAAAAATCACACATTCGATAAGCAATTAATAAGGCAAATTACGACCTACCCCTATGAAATCAATAGACAGAACTTCGCCCAAGATACCATTGTTGGAAAGTGATCTCCATTGTTCTTTTTTGGAATCCCATAAACATATAGACTTACAGTCTAAAGATCCAGCCTTTTCGAATTTACCCGTTACTATTAGGTCATCTGTTCCAACGCGACTTTTTATGATGTTCACTCTGACCAGGTTGTCGTTGGCTAACAAAGAGGAAATAAAAATATAAGGATTAGAAACAAACGGGAAAAATAACAAATAAAGGAAAATTGGCATCCGATATGCAAAACAGAAGTGTTTACCAAATAGTTGTTGAGTTCGAATCATCTTAAAATTCGTGAGGTCATAAGAAGCAAATGCTGGGTTCGTGTCCAAACTGCCATTCACCGCACTCCCAATATACAAAACGTTGTTAAATACTGCAAACGCTCTAACCTCTATTACATCAAGTGATACCGTGTTCCACACATTATCCTTTAATATTGCAATGTTCGTCAAGTTATCAAGCTTAAATTTTCCACCAACTATCACATATGATTTACTAGAATCCGTGGAATTATATATTATGGCAGCATTTATAATTACTTCAGGAGCATTGGACTGTGGAAATATGGGCAAAGGTTTAATTCCAGATGAGGTTATCAAACTCCCACCAAATGAAGTGACAGAGAGTGCAGAAATTATATTTCCACCCCAGAAACTTATGACGGGTTGAGTATTCGGCAATGAATAGGGAATCACGCTGCCCACTAAACCTTCTACATAAGCTGATGTGACCCAATTATTGATGCTGTCGTCCCATACCGCGTGACCAAATGTTACATTTCCAAATGTCGCATTGTGTTCTGATATCAATGTATTAAACCTGCCAATCACATGAACTTGACTTGAGTTGTATTTATTGACCAGGCCCAAGCGCGTCACTTCGCCGTTCACGCCTCCGCCCATTGCGCGCCATGACTTTTTCTTGGTGTCGAATATTGCAAGATTATTTAATCCATTGATGTTGCTTAGTGTCGTGCCATTGAACAATCCGCCAACTATTAAATCGTCACCCACTTGAAGCACCGCATTGACATGTCCGTTGAGACCTTCATTGGGGAGAGAAATGAAATTGGATCCGTCGTATTGAACAATGTTGGAGAATGTCATATTTTCAAATCTACCCCCTACAATGATATCCGAAGGTGACAATACCGCTATATCTGAAACCGTTGCTCCGAGTGCTAGTGTCCCGTGAAGTCCGTACCATGAGGCTTGCACATCTGATGATGACGGCGTGTACTGGAGTAAACCACTCAGTGTATTATGACTGATATTAGTAGGTTTGAACAGTACGCGATCAACATATATCACGGCGTCACCTCCATCGGCAGGCGGTTGTGCTGTCCGAGATACGGTGATTTCGACCCGCGGCTGAAAAGCATTCGAGGTGGAAACTATGTAGCCACTATAGATAGCATCTTCACGGTACTCGTCCGTAGAATTTTCCGCTAAGGTGACAGTTATAGTCACATTGGGCATCACGGTTATTTTGACATCAATGGACGTGGTAGAGGAACATCCAATGGGCAAGCAACTTGGAGTGAACAGTGTAACATTATAATAACCAGATTCCGGAATGTAGGGAATTAAGGTTACTTTTGCGGTAGAGCTGGTGAGCTGCGACGCTGGAATTGTTGTCGACAATACATATTCCCATATTCCGGACAATAATCTGGAGGTCCAATTTCCTTCGGTTTTTACTGATGGGGAAAACGGGATGTTTAAGCAACTTGGAAAGCCAAGATCATTGGCAGCACGTACGACAATATCTAATTTCACGAAACACGGTACAGATGTTAACTAACAGGTTGTCGAAAGAAGATCGGCGAATAAAGAAAATATCATACCGGTCTGGAATAATTGAATCCCATGAAGTCCACCGCCTTCACCGTACCACTCCAATATGTCAATTTCGAATCCAGTCAAATTAAAAGGTCCATCAAAGTTAAATATTTGGTAAACTCGATTGTTTGAATCCAAAGGACAGGTGGATGAACAATTTTCCACATTTCCGGTTGTAGAGTTAACATAAGTCAACGGTACAACGCTTTGATCTGGCGAGGATAACAATCTATTTCGTTTGAAAACAAAGGGAATTAATTAAATACGAGAATCTTCAGAAACACCATCCACATTCTGATAAGTCGGGAATATTTACTTACCTAAAGGACTTGGTCCCCCTCCCTTGATAATTGGTGTTTCTAAGACCAATTGATGTGGGCGTCAAGCCAATGTCAAATCCTGCTCTCCAGAATCCAGGCATTCTATCTTGCAACAACCATGTATTGCCTGGACCATCAAGATCTCCACTGCATACCATCACCGACGGATCACTAAAGCCATTCAGTGTTGTAGAACTGCCACCCACAATCTAGAAAAAAAGAAAAGAAAAAACGAATTAAAGAAAATGCGAGAGAAGACTCACAATAATCAGTAGTGAACTTGTAATAATACTGACCGTGGCATTTTTTATATTAATTGGTTGCGTGTTATTTGACACTCCAAAGGAACCATCCCCCGTGGCACTGAACCTTCCTCCAAAATAGATTGTGTTATTCTGTTCATTATTCGTAATTACATACACAGGTCCATTGAATCCATTGAATGGCAACGTTTTCCACGTTCCATCCTGCCACAGAGCCACACTCCCACCAAATGACGTACCATTAATACCATGTGCAGTCGGGTTCACCGGTGCCAAAAAGTCACCCCCCGCATACACTATCTTGTTCTTTGCATCACAGTATAATGTATACACCGTGCTATCCAACCCATCCAATAGCGGACTGAATGTTTGATTCTTGGGGTTATATAGTGCAATATTATTTATTCCGCTGGTCTCATTACCGATGCTACTAAAATTTCCAGCGACATATACATCAATATTATAAATGTCATCATTAGAACGAGGAATTATACACATAGCATTTATTGTCCCACCGGGAGAGGTCGATCCTTCGAATTGAAACGTGCCATTGGGTAATTGGGTCAAGAATACTGACGTAGCTCGACCATCAAAGGATTCCCTGTCCCCTCTAAGCACACCATCGTATTTTGATATCCCGTTGTATTTCCCGCCTATGAGTATTTGAGGGACCCCCGAAAACTCTATGTTCGGCTGTGCTGAGACGACAAGCGCTGCCTGCCATATCCACCATACCCACGCGCAACGTAGTAGTATTGAGGTCAAAAGATAATTGTAAAGTATGATGTTCATTCTAACAGCATGGAGAACTTAATTACTATTAATTGATGATAATTCTATCTAATTCCCGAAGTGCCTCCCTGGTAGGCAGCCTAGAATATTCGCGTCACTGTGGTTTCAACTTTATGTGTCTATCTAAGGATAAAACTCGAGATTTTATATGTACATATATACCAGATCTATGTGTAATACACAAGGACTTCGTTAACGAACCGAGTTTCTCGTTCTTGCCTCAGTTTAAAAACGAATAGGAATATTTTTGCTTACTGTGAGATTTTGTTTCGGTCAAAAATTTTCGTTCTTACCAAATTCTCTATAGTTATACCGTTAGCATTTATAAAAAAGTGAATGTGGTTTCTTTTCAACCGGTTTGTCTTGAAACTTGAAAAACTCTTTATTGTATTATAGTAATAGTAGTATTATGTGATATAGGAACGCGAACGTAACCGAGGCGGAGGAAAAAAAAAAAAAAAAAAAAAAAAGGGTTTTAAACTTCGTAGCCCCTCTTGTTTATATCACTCGTAATTGACGAATGTTAATGTGCAGAAAAAAAAAAAAAATTTTTTTTTTTTCTTTTTCGGAAACGAGAGGAAGCAAGGTCTGCAAGGTTTATCAAGCCATTTGGTTACAAGCTCATGAGTACGTAGTATGTGTGCGTTAAAGCAAAATTCTGGTTGCGACTATCACAAAACCAGCCAAATTAGCACAAAAGTAATATATTGAAAAAAAAAGATAATAAACTGATTGTACTAGTTGAGAAATGCGGTGAAAGTTGTTCTCCAGGACACGAACTCGATTTAGTTCTATAATATATATTAAATGTATTCTAAAATTTATGATGTGCAGATACTTACCATATGTAGGTAACATCAAGCAAGAACAAACGTACCTACATAGATAAATAGGTCAATCAAAACGGTATTTAGGATAGTTTTGCGGCCTGCAGAGTCGAAACGAGAAACCCGTTAGTTGTCGCCATTGTAAGAATTATGCACAGATCAACAAGATGTATTTGAGAAAGAGATTATTGGCTAATTTACCTTTTCATATAGTGATTCCACAACATTTCCCATTTGTTTGAGTGTTTCTAAGGCTCCTTCGTATGTTTTCTATAATAAAAAGAAATAAATTGATTTGCATGAACATGCACAAATGATTCAGAGGAATGAAAAAGGTAAAATAAATTTCAAGACAATACATCTTGAGGGGGTTCGTCGAATACGATCAAACATCCTGCCCCTTGATCCAAAATTCCGTGAAATACTTCATCCAGAATCATCTGAGACAGCTTAGTTTCTACCTGAATGGTTGGAAGTTTAACCATTTCCGCCACATGTGAAATCTCCACCCTAGAAAATGGTTCTATTATGCGTACGAGATTTTGTTCAAGTAACGTGTCATAAAGCGCGGCGAGATGAGACCGGATAATCGGGTCATTTCCCAGTTCTTTTTCGGTAAATCAATGAAAAATTTATATTAATGAGTCGATAAACCGGAACCATTGACGTGAAAGTTTCCGAAAATGGAATGTGATGAATTGTACTATTTTACCATCACTGTAAGTCGCGAGGGAAGCCTCGAATTCGTTAAGCGAGCGATTTTGATGCGCGGTTGCTATAGCTTTCATGGCATCAACTTCACGCCCAGCATATCGCAACGCAAGTTTACCGTTGATAATAGCATGAACGTCTCCCGGCTATTCATCCACAGAGAAAAGAGTATTTCATAAATGACACGTCCTGCTGACAATGTGAACTAATAAGAATGGTTCCCTACCAAATTCAACATGATTTTACAAAGCAACATGTACTTGAGAGCCAAAATAGCTCGAGGATCATCTTGCGATGAGTAACCTTCGAGAGTTTCATAGAAGTACGAGTAGCTGCAATCATTTAAATTATAGATGAAGTCATCACGGGCACATCTTGTTGACGGACAACCAAACATTTTATATATATATCATACGCTGTCTTGTAATCTTTATCTTCAGCGTGTAAAATCCCGGACTGCATATCGAGCGCAGCTTGTAGGAGAGGCGGACAATAAATAGCATTCGCTGAAGTTCTAGCGGACGTTAGCGCTGCCTAAAAAAAAAAATTATTATTTTGTTGATGCAGTTGTTCGTCCTAACAATTTCGAATAATATATGATATATGATGTATAAAGATACCCTTGACTTTGGTAAATTCCTTAGCGCATGGCAAACCCTACTTTCCAGGAGTTGAACTTCAACTAATACCATTTTATCGTCCAATCTCTTCAATTCTTTCAAAAGCGAATTGATAAGGGTTAAAGCGTCGTGATACATCTTGTTATCTAGGTATCTAAAACTTATTGTAAGCATATCTACGAGCGACGATTGATTCGATTAAGGAATGTGATGATAAACATACAAAGCCACTAATCTAGTCTCCAAGGATTGTTTAAGAAAGATGCGCTTCTCCTGTATGCTCCAATCAATAGTCTCTTTGCATATTTCAATTTGGAGTGGTAATGACTCGGGAATTTCCGAGAAAAGGTCGATCAGAGTTTTCACTAATATGATTTTAATATGATACGATGCCCGCCTTAGTAATGGCTTGTGATTAACAGACTCATGTAGTTGCTAAGGAATACCTATTTTGGCCGTCTTTGCTCGCGCAATGGACGCCATGAAAGATCGCGACGAACGAATTAAAATTGATAGTTCATGAGCCTTTCTACATAATCGTTTCAAAAATGAATTCCCTCATGTTTCTTTTAGTAATAATTCAAACGTGAAATAAGATTACAACAAACCTATGATCCCGATAGAGCTCTCCGAGTTTAACGAGTGCAAGCTCCTGTTCCCTAATTATGTTTTCGTTGTTGCCTACATAATAATGGAATTTAACGAAATGTGTGTAAAAGAGTGAAAAAAAAAAAAAAAATTAAAACTCTGAACAAGTTCGAGTCCGAAAATGTTTGCGACTATGGAAGGGTTATACATGCCAGCATCCTGTGACAGGATATTTTTGTAAATTTCCTCTGCTCTTTCAGGCGCGAACTTCGCTAGTCCCTCGGCTTCCTGTAAGGTCGAGACGGAAGACATTTCTCAGTGATTGCCGCGAAAATTAAACAGTGTACATACGTAGACGATACATTTATCTTACGTATGTGTTATCACGGGGAATCTCGGTTCTAGAATTACGTATGCATCTATTTCAGCTTTTCTGGATTGATGCCAAATATAGTATACATTGTGATGTTTTGACGTGTCGTGCATTTTTTTCTCGACCTTCAAAATGGTTCTTCAAGTGTCGAATCCGAATAATGTCAAAATATACACCGTCTCCGGCTCTGGATCTCGCACGATACCTAACTGGTTGGCGAAGAAAAAGAAAAAAGTTTTGAAAGACGACCCAGGTTTGTTCATTGATCATAAACTATTGCATTCGATAAAAATACAATCAAATTAACGCGGTTCACCGATTTGCAGAATGGAGTTCTAGGATCGAGCTTATACAAGATTTCGAATTTCCAGAGGCCTCAATTCGAATAAAGCCCACAAGAGATGGACAATTTGTCATGGCCACAGGTATTCTTCGGTTTTACGTGTTTCGCCTTTCTAAAATACAAGCCTTTTGACGAACGATTTTAACGAATTCCAGGTGTATATAAACCACAAATGCGGATTTTTGAGTATTCCGAAATGTCAATGAAGTTCGAACGTCATACGGATTCAGAAAATGTCAATTTCGTGGTAAATTTCTTGATTATAATCAAATGTTTGGCACAATTTCATCTACTTATTTGAAATCTTTGGTAGATTTTATCAGATGATTGGACAAAGTCCGTATTATTACAAAATGATAGGACGATTGAATTTCACGCGCAAGGTGGAATACATTATAAGACCAGAATCCCAAAGGCAAATAACAATAATTCTTTGTGTTAACTTTAGAACATTCGATCAAGTGTTTGCATACTTATTTACATATGTATTCACATTTAGTTCGGAAGAGATTTGGCGTATCACTATCCCACATGCGATCTTCTTATTTCTGGCTCATCACACGAAATATATCGGCTCAATCTTAGCCAAGGCAGATATTTGAACTCGATATCGACCGATTCAACGTCTGGAGTTAACGTCTGTGTCATAAATCCGGCCCATCAACTTTTTGGGTTCGGTACAGATGAAGGCACTGTGGAATTTTGGGATCCGAGATCACGGTCGCGTGTCGGGATTTTGGCTCCTAGCTTTGCATCCGAATTCGATGAAACCAAAGGATTTCAAGTGACCGCAATGAGGTATGGAAATGATGGACTTTCCTTAGCTGTAGGAACTTCCACTGGTCATATACTACTGTACGATCTGAGGAGTTCAAGGCCGTGGCTGGTCAAAGATCATCAATATGGCTACCCTATCAAGAGCGTAAATTGGTACTATGATGTTACAGGGGATAGAGGTCGATGCAAAGTAATCAGTGCTGATTGTAAAATAATGAAAATCTGGGATAAAGAAAATGTTAGTTTAAATATACAATAATTATAATTCATTTTATCTCGCCTAATCAATTTGATTGCATTTGATAAATAATTCAGGGTTCCAACTTTACTTCGGTGGAGCCAAGTACCGATATCAATGACCTGTGTGTGGTACCTGATTCTGGATTGATTTTCGTGGCAAATGAAGGGATACAAATTGGTGCATACTATATACCCGCCTTGGGACCAGCCCCGAGATGGTGTTCGTTTTTGGATAATTTAACGGTAAATTTATATTTACTGCTTGGTCAATATTCTATGACGCATGTACCTAAATATACTCGGTTAATACCTGATTTTTGACTAGGAAGAGATGGAAGAGAATCCTCAACAAAATATTTATGAAAATTACAAGTTTGTCACCAGGAAAGAATTGGCAAGGTAATATATTGACATTATATTATTAATGTATAGAAAGAAACAGTTTTCCGGAAGAAATTCGTTATTTAATCCACTTTTTTATTGTTCACTTAAGCCTGGGGATGGAGCATCTGATAGGAACCAATGTCATGAGACCATATATGCACGGATTTTTTATTGATCTGCGTTTATATGATCAAGTAGGAGAAAATTTTTTTAGTTGGAATCTTGGTTTAGCTATTGTTGACCATACTTGTAAAAATTATTAGGCCAAGTCAATTGCAAATCCATTTGCTTACGTGGATTACCGTGAAAAAAGAATTAAAGAAAAATTAGAAAAAGAGCGTGAGTCGCGTATACGCGCCACCAAAAAATTACCAAAAGTCAATAAAGAATTGGCAAATAGATTGTTACAATCGTCGTCGAAAAAGAAAAAGGGTGATGAGGTTTGTTGGTTTTTAAGATTTGATATCTATTGGAAGCGAATTAAAAGCTCATCATTGGATTTTCTCTTCACCATCAATATAACAGAAAGCTGCAAACGCCCTCGAGGATCCCAGGTTTGCAGAATTATTTACCAATGAGGATTATGAAGTTGATAAAAATACTACGGAATATAAGTTATTACACCCTACGTTATCATCGGTACGTGATGTTCACTTTATCGCGTTGTTTATTTTTTTTTTTTCCACGATTAAGTCTGATCAATTATCGTTGTTCTTAGAAAAAGGTCTCTATGAAAGAATCGGATGATGAATCCGAAGGAATGCAAATTGATGAGAATGATTCTGTAATAAGAAGTGATGTTTCTGTGTCATCGCAATCTGAAACTGATAGTGATGAAGGTATTTTGTAAAACATACTATCATTTTTTTATATATCATTCAAAGAATTATTAATTTACCATTTTTTAGACCTTGTGACCAAAGTGTACAGGCAAAAAGAAATAAAGCCAAATAAAAAGATAGTGAACAAGGTTGGTCAGACAACGCGTGGGCAGCGCCAAGAAATCAAGAAACCTAGAAAAATCGAAATGAAAGTAGGTTCCCTGATCTAGTAGAATGTTGCTTTGCTTTACCCAAACTTGATTATTCTTTTAATTTTAAAATCCGCGACTTTTTTTAGACGGGACGGATAC